GATTAGGAAAAGAATTTGAATAATATACTTATAACATGACGCACAAAGAGAAAAAAGTATCAACTGTACTTCACCAAAACTATAATGTTTTTTTCTATGACAGATGATAAAGCATGGGGCAACCAATGAAAACTGTCTGTGCATTACAGATCTAGAGGGGTTACTTATATCTTTAACATTATAAGAACTTTCAAAACACAATAAAAAACTTGAAAAATATCCAGTTTTTTTAAGGGGCAAAGATTTGAATAGGCATTTCCAGAAAAATATATTCAGGCAAATAATGAGCATACAAGGTGCATCAAGTCACTCCCTTGTCAATGCTTATTTGGGGGCTATTCTGATGGCATTTTTAAGCAGCTGAGTAAACACACACACACACACACACAGAGTTAAAATTAATACAGACTTTTGAAATTTCCAGGGATAGTTGCATGTGTTTGTAATCCAAGAGCTAGAGGGGTAGAGAAAGGTGGATCCCTGGCGCTTGCTGACTGGCCAGCCTCACCTAGTTGGTGAGTTCAAGACTAGTGTCTCAAAAAGGGTTAGGATGGACGGCACCTGAGGAGACACTTGATGTGGTCTACACACACACACACACACACACACACACACATCTCCTCTTGCAAACATGCACACAAAGATTATGGCACAGACAGTGTGATTGATACAAAATCAACGCGTTACATTTTTACAATCACCAGTTGTTAATCTGTGTGAGACAGTGAGCTCTGCTGTCTTACCATTTCCTATTTTTTCTCTTGCACCTATAAACTGCAGTTCCCTCAGCCTATGCAAGGAAGACATCCAGTTGCTGGGCTGAAATGATCAAAAGTCTATGACATGAGCCTCACAATCCACGCCTGCCAGAGGCAGGTGCTAGGTCTCTGAAGAGAGGTGGGGCAGAGTGCCAGTTGCTATTATCACTACCCACTTAAGATACAACCACAGAAGTGTGCCTACTATACAGTTGTCCAGCTCTGCACCATCTCACCACAGAGAAAAGACAGCCCAGAGCACATCCAGGGCCTCACTGCAAGAATTACTACCCTGGTGAGTAGGATACAATGTCTTCCCTCTCCACTGTACCAACAACCATTTAAAATACAATACTCCTCAAGTTTGGCCTCAGGGACCAATGATCTCACTGGCTTATTTATAGATCACAGCAGAGCAGTTGCCTAAAGGAACATGGAGGACCCCAAGGAGCTTCATGGCAAGTCTTCACCTAGCATGGATGATGGCTTGCCAAAAGCCACGTGGGTGGAGTCTCAATCTCCCCTGGTTTATAAAAATACCCTAGCACTTCCTGTGAACTCATATAACGGGCAGAATTGCATACAAATGGCTTGGAGGAGAACTGGAATCTCAGATGCGGGTCCAGTGGTACTCCCTAGGCCCTCATATGAGGCAATGTCAACAGTCAACAAGCCTGATAGTGATGATCTCTCTCTCTCTCATGAGCAAACACTGATGAAAACAGCAACTCTTTCATTTGGAAGACAGCAATCACAACAGGAATTGTAAATAAAAAAGAAACAAATGAATGGAAACGAACACTCTTAAGGCTGAACTCAGTTATGCTGTATTTTCATTTTCATGGGCCCCTGTGAATGTTGTAACACAAAGTTGGTGTTAATTACTGATCAAATCTGAGACTCCAATTAACATGGGAGACCAGGAGATCAAATACTTCTGGGTAAAAATCAGAGGTGGCTGTGAAGCCATTAAACAAATTCCACAAGGCGCCGTTTCACTTCTTCCTACCCAACCTTCCTCTTCAACAAGCATGCTTCATGTCTGCATTTATTTACCCCAGGCAGAAGACGAATTATAGCCTCCATCTCCACAACAGGGGTGAGAAAAAATAAGTTCACAAATGTGGAGGTTTGTGAGAAAGAAAGTGATACTATACAGATGCAAGATCATATTTTTAATGGCCATGCCTACATGTCAGTGATTTTTCCCAACTGAAAATTCTAACCACTGGGTTACTTCCTATCTGGGAGGTGGGGGTTTTAGGCAGCAGTGTGAGAATTCTGGTCCTGCCCAAGAGCTTTGCATGTGTGCTTAGAACAAGTGGACATGATAAATTAAATCATCAAAATACGTTACCCACAGAAATCTTTGCTCTTTTGCAAGTACTGTGGAAAGATGCCATTGGAGACATTTTTTTTAGTTTTTTTTATTTTTAAATTTAAATTAGAAACAAGGCTGCTTCACATGTCAATCCAAGGTCCCTCTCCCTTTCCCTCCCCTCCTCCCATACCTTCCCACCAGGCCCCCCAGCCCCCTTCCCCCAATCCCCACTCCTTTCCCCATGGGGGGGGTGAGGCTCTCCATGGGGGTGTCCATAGTCTGTAATTTCATCCAGCGCAGGACCTAGGCCCTCCCCCAAGAGTCCAGGGTGAGAGTGCATCTCTCATTGTGGGATGGGCACCCAAAGTCCATTTGTGTGCCAGGGATAAACACTGATCTACTATCCAAGGTCCCATAGATTACCTAGACCTCCTCAATGACACCCACATTCAGGGGGTCTGGATCAGCCCCATGCTGGATTCCCAGCCATCAGTCTGGGTTCAAGAGCTCCCCCTTGTTCAGGTCAACTGTTTCTGTGGGTTAAACAAGAGCAGCCTTGACCCCTATGCTCATCAGTCCTCCCTCTCTGACACTGGGTTCCTTGAGTTCAGCTCAGTGTTTAGCTGTGAGAGTCTGCGTCTGCTTCCACTGGTTGAAGATTCTGTTTCCCAGACTCTCTGGTAGTGGGATTGTAGGCTGGCACTCCCCTGATCCATTTCTAAAATCCATATATGAGTGAGTACATACCACATTTGTCTTTTTGTGCCTGGGTTACCTCACTCAGGATGGTTTCTTCTAGTGCCATCCATTTGCCTGCAATTTTCAAGATTCTATTGTTTTATTTCCGCTGAATAGTATTCCATTGTGTAAATGTACCACATTTTCTCTATCCACTCTTCGGTTGAGGGGCATCTAGGTTGCTTCCAGGTCCTGGCTATTACAAATAATGCTGCTATGAACATAGTGGAACAGATGTCCTTGTATGAATGTGCATCTTTTGGATATATGCCCTAGAGTGGAATTGCTGGATCTTTGGAATCAAATTGAACACCCTGATATTAACCCATATATGTATGAACATCTGATCTTCGACAAAGAAGCTAAAAATATACAATGGAAAACTGAAAGCATCTTCAACAAATGGTGCTGGCATAACTGGATGCTGGCATGTAGAAGAATGCAGATAGATCCATGTCTATCACCATGCACAAAACTTAAGTCCAAATGGATCAAAGACCTCAACATAAATCCAGCCACATTGAACCTCTTACAAGAGAAAGTGGGAGGTACCCTTGAACGAATTGGTATAGGAGACCGCTTCCTGAACATAACACCAATAATAGCACAGACAGAGGTCAACAATTAATACATGTGATCTCTTGAAACTGAGAAGCTTCTGTAAGGCAAAGGACACAGTCAACAAGACAAAAAGGCAGCCCACAGAATGGGAAAAGGTATTTACTAACTCCACATCTGACAGAGGGCTGATCTTTAAAATTTACAAAGAACTCAACAAGCAAGTCTCCAAAACACCAAAGGATCCAATTAAAAAGTGGGCTACAGAACTAAATAGAGAATTCTCAATAGAGGAGTCTAAAATGGCTGAGAGGCACTTGAGAAAGTGCTCAACATCCTTAGCCATCAGGGAAATGCAAATCAAAACAACTCTGAGATTCCATCTTACTCCTGTCAGAATGGCTAAAATCAAAAACACCAATGGCAGTTTATGCTGGAGAGGATATGGAGAAAGGGGAACACTCCTCCACTGCTGGTGGGAGTGCCAACTCATACAGCCACTTTGGAAAGCAGTATGGAGATTCCTCAGGGAAATGGGAATCAGCCTACCACTGGAGACATGTTTAGTCCTTGAGTTTGCAGAAGGTCACTTCTGCTGCAAATATCTGCACCACCATCTACAGCAGGTTTTCTAAGATGAGTAGACAGGCTACATGCAAACCCTGAGAGGTGAAATTAAGTAACAACAGTCAACCGAGTACGTGGTCTTACAAGCATCAACGACCATAAGCAAGTGGATTCTGACCCTCGCCTGGGGAACACCAGGAAAACCCCTTTATCGCTTTTAACCCACGCACCTGATTGCCTTATTCATCCTGCCTTGTTTTGCTCACCTCTTGAGGCAAGGTCTCACTCTGTGGTCTGAGATGCTTTGCACCTGAAGATGAGATGCCTGCCTCAGCCTCTTAAGAGCTAGAACGGCAGGCTCGAGCCACCACACCTGCCTGCTGCTCGTCCTTCTACTGCACTTTAAGCATTGCTCGGCATTTCTCGTGTCTTAGCTGACCAGTACTCGGAGAGCAGATATTCTATCAGTTTCCTCCATCGGCTGGTGTTTAATTCAACCAAAGAATTGGGGCTGAATAGCCCCAATTATTGTATTAACAGAACTCAAAAGTTTAAGGTTCCCGAAGCTTGCATAATTTAAACATCCTATAACACACTTTCTACATGTCAGACAGCCAATGTAATGATCTAATTTAACCTTTATGAGTGTGAGAAGTAATATTGTGTGTGTATATATATATATATGTATATATATATATGTATATATATGAAGCTGGAAATGGCATGTAGACAATTTTTCCAAAACCCTACCATTTATAAATGGTGGGTCTGGAACTCTTAACACATAGTTGTTTGACTCAAAATTCCTGACCCTCCTTCTTTTACACTCACTGCCCACAGCGTTAGACACTCACCCTTCTCCGTACAGCAGACACTGTGTAACTCTGCCTGTGGGTCTCCTGGTGTCCTATTGCTGACTGGAAAATCAAAACGTGCCGCAGAAACATCAAGTCATCATCTGCTACCCATAAGCCTCTCTTGACGCTGAGCTGCTGCAGCGTTACACCTACTTTCCCCAGTTGAAGTTATTCCCCAATTCTGTTGTTTTGTTTATTGTGGATAAGATTAGCTATCACTCAACAGCTGAGTCTGGCTTTGAACTCGCGTTCCTGGCTCCCAGGTGGAAATCCTCAGAGCCTCAGTGACCGCAGCACCCTCTCCCCTGCTTTCCTTTCCTTTCCAGTCTAAAGCTCCCCTTTCCCTCACGGACAGGGGCCAGTGAGAACTCCTTGAACATTGCATCATTTCTTGATGGAGATCCCAGAAGTGAGTATAACAATTCCAGATGACTCTAGCCTGAAAAGGCATTAAAAGAGCTGCTGGGCAATTGCTAGGGACTGTATTACTCTAGTTAGAATTTCTACCTGGTAATGGTACCAGTGAAAGTCACGTCTAGGTTGTCTGAACTGCTAAAGGGATATTTTAAGCTTAGCCATTTTTATTTATGATGTTACATATGCTATAATTTAAGCTCACCCAGAAACTCCATGTAATTATCCCAAAACATTTCGCCTTACTGATGACTCTTGCTTAGTTACAGCTTTTGCCAACGATCTGACTACCACTTCCAACATGTGCATAGCATTTTTCTTCCCTACTTGTAGAGAAGGGCAGGTTCGGTTTGACAAACATCTACCCCAAGTACACCAGAGGGAAATGGCAGAACGGTGCTGTCTGGTGTTGTGAAGGTGGTGACAGGGCTGTGGATAAGTGTGTGGCTCTCCTCCACTATGTGACTTTTTCTCGTCACTCTGGACTCCAAGGAGCCTTTTATCCATTCATACCTCAGTTTATTTTCACACCCTTGCGCCTGAAAGACGATCAGTCCAGTAGAGGACATGTCCAGCATCTCAGCCCGTCTGTTCACACTCAACAAAGGGAGATCCTAACACAGTAACTTATCCTGTGTCCCACCACACAGGCTAACATCAGGACCCTATATACTGCCTGGGGAAAAATATGCTCAGCTACTCTACAGACTGAGCTGTTCTGGGGAGATACCCTTCTAAAGAAACAATAAATAAAAAGAAGAATAACTAAAGTGGCAGTGAATTCAAAATTTGACTTTTGAAGAAACCCCTTCCCTGAAAAGGCAATATAATGTAATTGCATTATGATATACTCCTTCGGTACATACAGCTCAGTCCCACTGGTGAGTAAGTTTAGAGTTAATAGAGAATTATCTCCTGATTAAATCAGCAACAGACATCATGCAACATTCAAAACTGTGTACTACCGTCTAAATCTACTACATGGTAGACACTAAGAGTACAACTTGCCAGATTTAATATCTGCACAGAGCTAAGGTTTTGATAGGCTTGGTTCCCATTTTCAAGGGCATGTCAACACACTTAGACGTGAGAAGTCTTACTCTCAAGGTGACTTGTTGAACACTATGGACATAAACTTTGGAAACAGAAAAGGAATCCAGGTGTCAGTTCCAAAGAAGTCTACTCTCTGTGGTGAACCTTCTCCTTGCCTGTTCGCAGATTCTAAACATGTCTTCCCAGCAGGAAGATAAGGTAGAAAAATACAATTCACTAGGGAAACAGTTCAGGTTCTCTCTAAATCCTGATAGTTTTATGTAAATCTCTATACATTCACAGCCTGATTACAGGATGAGCCACATGAAATCAAAGTCATAGAGTTTAAACTATCTGCATGCGGATTGACTCAGTGTAATTTACAGATATACATCGATGGGTTATGCATTGCCCAAATAACACATCACAGAACAAAGGCTGCCGTGATATACCTGCCATCCAAGGCACTCCTAAATCAACCTGCAGTTTCTCCCAGCATTACAGAATCATGGAAGGCATTCCAGCATGAACTTTCTGCAAGAGCCACCCAAAGAGTTTAGTTATAGACTAGTCTGCAAATGAAGTCTCTGCATCAAACACTTGCTCAGAGATCTGCTCGGCAAGCAATACGCTTGATCACGGCAAAGATACTTACGGTAGAAGTTCCTCTTCACTCGTGGGTTCATCATTTGGGGACGTTTTCATCAGGAGTTGTCATGCTTTTGATCTTTAACGCCGTTCTTCCTCCAAGGTTTCTTGTCCGTAATGTCCAAAACAGAGTCACTTGAACTAACAAGCCATCGTCCCATACTGTTCCTTCTTTGTGTGTGAATGTTACCCTGTAGATCAATTTCCTGTCCAGAAACACTCAAAACCAACGAGCGCTGCTCTGTGTGAGTGAGATGCGCTGCTCGAGTCCTCTGCTTTTGCAGTTTAGCTCAGGAAGGGAACGCTGATTAAAACGAGGAATCATATCCCAGTCGTCCCGGGGAACTTAAAAGACAGACGCGCTGCCTCCTGAGTGGGCTTATCAAAGCAGCCCGTGTCGCTTGCTCTTGCTAGCTTGTGTCTGTTTGCATACAAGTCGTCCATGTGCCTCTTGCGGTCAAGTCCCACCCCACAGCCACAGTAACACAAGGACAAGCTATATTTTCAAGTCGGGCTCCGTGGGCTTTGAAGTACGTAATGCTTTCCATTCCTGAAAGGACAAAGAGATCTACGTTGTCAAAGTTTATTTTTAAGCCCATGTGCTTGCTAAGTGCAGTGGCAAACAGACGTTCTGTGCCTGGTGTACTGTGACTGGAACCTATTAATACAAACGGATGAATGAATGGCTGGCCCTGCTCCACGTAGGCTTTTACTTGTTCATTTCTTTCACCTTATCTAAATCGTGTCCGCATCGATTATCTTTTTTTTTTTTTACATTAGGAATGTTATCGGTTTTACAGCCTGGTTTGTTTTCAGTGGGTTGGGATAGGGGATAAAAGGGGAGAGAGGGGAGTAAGAGCAAAGTTTCAAGGGGCATTGGCTGCGATAAGAAAGCAATTAAAGTTAGAGTCTCCTGGACTAGAGCAGAGGGACATTCAGAGACCGTAAAAGTGACAACAAACTTTAAAACCTGTTGGAGGCTAAAAGGGGAGTGAGGAGCTAAGGAGGCAGTGAAGGAGGGGGAGAGATGCCCTGACCATCGGCAGTCATTCTTAACATAGTTTCTTACTGCTGGGAAAGCAAACCGCTCTGTGTTGTATAACCCCCTACTGGTCTGCTCAAACCACCAAAATCCGCCGGCATGTCATCCAATACTGGACCTAGACTGTGGAAACACATCGTTGCTCTGTTAAAGCTCTAACAAAACACAGCTGAGCAGGGAGCATGAGGTGTGGGGTGACCCTGAGGTAACCCAATCCGTGCTGTGGAGTTTCCAGTCCAGATCTTAAACAGCTGGACTCAGGACAGTGCTGTGTGGCCCTATGCATTAAATGCTGGCGGGAAGTAACCTGATCTCCCCATCGGATGGGGGCAATCCATGCTATTGAAATCATGCAAGAGACACAGACTCGCTTTTGTTCACGTATTTTGAAACGTCCGTCCTGTGTACCCATGTGCCCACACCATGACATACTCTAACATACTCATCTCAGCAAGGTTGTTCAGAGCTAAGGGAGGGTCTTCATCACTCCACTGGAAACTCTGCTCCGGGGACACCTTTTGCTAGATGACACTGACTCATGTGAGACCTGCCTGTGTAGAGGGGACTGGAAAAGGAAATATAAGAAACAAGCCATGCTAACTGGACCAGAGCGTGACCCCTGACCTTTGTTTCATTAATGTGCTCTCAGGCTATAATCCCATGAAGTTGCCAGCCGTTGGCACCCCGAAAAATAAACAAAGTCAGATGGTGGCTGTCTCATAAGCTTCAGGGGAAATGGCTCCTGCATCTCCATGTTGAGTAACACCACAGTTAAACATCAGAGGACTCATTCGCTGCCAGACTACAGAGGTGGGGTTGCTTTAAATCAGCACCTAAGCATGGGCCAGTGGATGGGAAAGCAGGGCCCTGGTGGCCACGTGCTCCCTTTTTATATTCACACAAGGGAAGGGTGGCAGAGGGAGAAGGATGTTAACGAGGATGGAAAAAATCTTCTGGAACAAAAAAAAAGCCACTCTGGGGATAACAAATGGTTTGTAAAATATGGGACTGAGAGATAAGGATTGTATTAGTCAGGGTTCTCTAGTGGAACAGAACTGATAGAATGAAGGCAGGTGAATGGATGGATGGATTGATGAATGGAAAGATAGATATTGATAGACAGAGATGTAAATAGATTAGATAGATATTGATAGACAGAGATTATAGATACATGGACAGACAGACAGATAGATAAAGGGGGTTTTACTAGAGTGGCTTATAGGCTTAGTCCAGCTAATCCAACATTGGCTGTCTACCCACAGAAAGTTCAAGAATCCATTAGCTGTTCAGACATAAGGCTGGATGTCTCAACTGGTTTTCAGTTTACAATGAAGTAGGCTCTAATGCCAGGGAAGGAATGGACTTGCCGGTGAGAATAAGGGCAAGCAGGCAAGGAATAGAAGCTCCCTCTTCCCGTGTTCTTTTACACAGGCTGTCAGTGGAAGTCATGGCCCAGATTGCAGGGGTTCTTCTCATCTCAAAAGATCTGGATTAAAGCTGCTCTTCCTAGTTCAAATTATTTAATTAGGAAAAATTCCTCACAGAAGCACCCAGCTGCTTGTGTTTTGCAGATATAATCAAGCTGACAGCCAAGAATGGTCATCACAAGGATGGATCTAACATTGGTGAAAGGTTGTTATGGTACAGAAAGGAAATGCAGTTACAGGGAGTATTGTGAGGTCATCCTCTCATCAAGCTTCTACAGCACCCTACATGATACGCTGAGAACACGACTGTGTGTTAAAATACAGTCGTGCAACCATGCACAAAAGCTGTTTGCAATGGTTGGCAAATTTAAGGCTGCTGTCTGAGCTGGGTTTGGGTGAGAAGTGGAATCTGTCATATCTGTCATATAAGAGGTAGAAGTACTTCCAGAGCAGTGGGACAGGTGTAGCATGCCCAGCCATGAGAAGGATTGAATGGCAGGTTATTCTGAAGAAAACGTACACTGACGGCAGTAGCTAATTTGGTCCCCATTCGTTTCACTTCTTCAACCATGTAAACAAAGCAAGCCCAGTCCACATCAGCATCTCAGGCATTACTAGTACCTAATGGGTTTCGGACCAACAGTTGACATTGTCCCTCTGCTCCCCAGCAAGGGGTGTGTGAGAACATCCTGCTCCAGCAGAACCCTGCTCTTTCTCCCAGCGAGGAGTCTTGTTCAAAGCATGTCTGAACATCAAGAATACTCAAAGTTTATCCAGTCCCTTGGATTCTGCTGACGATCAGAGCTTCCTGAGTCAGGTGAGTGGCATTTGAAGACGCTGGCACAGAATGCAAACCTCAAGTGTTCTTTCCTGGTTGGAGCCAAACCCAGACCTTTTCAGAGGCGTGAAAACACACAGCCACGTTGGTTTGGCGTTCCTTCCCCAGGCCGTTCTCCCTGCTGGTGCTGGCCAGCACCACACAGAAAAGGCTTGCGACATGAACCATCTCCATGGAATTTTAAGCTCTGCCAAAAACAAGAGAGATTGGAAATTTCGTGAGACTGGCTATTCTTAGGAGGTTTCCATCCCAGATTCCTAATGCGTGTGGCTCAGATAAGTATCTGCCAGGCATTGCCAGCATTCCGAGGTCCGAGGCGGATGTGCTGTCTTTCCACGCACAGCTCAGCACCGAGACCTCTAAGCAGCGGTGAATGCTAGGGTTGTCGGAAATAGTTGTGCATGCCAGTCCTACATCCCCTTGCCGCTGTGGCAATGGGCTTAGGATGTCATTTGTAACACAAACATTGGGTTCAAATGTCCTCAGAACACATTCAACTTTTAGATGACACATTTATTTTTCTCTAAAATCACGTCGACCTATCCTAAAACAACCCCTCAATTATTTTCTTTATTTTTAGTTGCTTCCTTTTCTCTTTTTCTCCTGGTCAAATAAAAATATTAAAACAAACAAAAAAAAGATTTTGGAAAGGGCCTGTGGTTATGGCTCAGGGGATTAGCACAAGCAGGAGGACTGAGTTCAGGTCTCCGGCACCCACTTGAAGAAAATAGGCATGGCCACATGTATCTGACAGCCCAGTGCTGGGGGTGTTGGGGGCATGGGGGAAGAAGAGTCGCTGGGATTCACTGGTCGGCTAATCTAGCCTGAAACCTGAGAGCTTGAGGTTCAGTGAGAGACTCTGCCTCAAAGGAATGAGACAGAGTATGGTAGACTAGGACACCTGATGGCCTCCCCTGGCTTCACACGCACACAGATGGGCAAGCACGCCTGCACATGTGGGCGCACACCACACACATACACAAATGCACCACAATTACAAATATATCCCAAGGCATATTAAATGTGTGGCAACTCCAGCCCCTTCCATTTGCCTATCTTTAACAAGGAAAATGTATTTTTAGAATTTTTATATTTATGGTATATGTATGAATATTTATTTGCCTGGAAGTGGAATTACAGATGGTTGTGAGCCACCTTCTGTGCCAGGAACAGAACATGGGTCCTCTGCAAGAGTGGCAAGCATTCCTAACTGCTGAGCCGTGTCTCCAGCCCTGAAATGTGTATCCCAAACGCAACTACAACTCTGCTGAGGCATAACCGAATCCGTCAACCATTGTTGAGGACTGTGTCTGCTTTCCGCTTCAGTGGCCTGGACAATGGTCACTGCTTTTTTTTCCTGAGAATACTTTTATTTACATTTTTCTGAGAATTGCACATATGCATGTTGTATTACACCATTTCCACTCCTCCCTATTCCCCTTCTGACTCCTCCCATTCTGCCCCCCTCCCTCTCAAATTCGTGACCTCTTCTCTAACTGTTATTGTTTTGCCTGCACGCGTGCACACATACGTTACAGAGTCCACGTCATCTCACTCCTATGTACATGTGCTTAGGGATGACTACTTGGGATTGAAGGATCTATCCGCGAGTTCTTCCCCGGGAAACAGATTCTTCCTGTCTTGGCAACCATTGACTGCCTGTAGCTCTTCGCCTAGGTATGAGGCCCTGTGAAATCTCACGCATCCCACACTGGAATGTCAACTTATGTGGTCATTGTGTAAGACTAGATGAGGTTTCACGACTGCAACTTCCCTGTCAAGTCTAAAAGACACTATAGAGTAACAGGCATCCTGTTCTGTTGGCTCTGACTATCTTTCTGCCCTCTCTTCCTTCATTGTGCCTGAGCTGTTCGAGCAAGGCGTTTCTTGCTGTTCACTATTCTATGGGTCAGCATGACAAATTCAGTATCATTAGGGCTTGTTCAAGCATGTTGGGTAGGGGACTGGTCACCTGAGCAGGATTTTTTAAATATGGCATTGATTGACTTCATGCTGTTCCAAGGTAGGCTCGGCTGGGACAATTAAGGCTTTCCCCTTGAGTCTCTTACATTTGCATGTCTTTCATACAAGCAAGCCCAGGCATGTTCCCAGCATTGTAGTGGGCCAAGACAAAAGAACTGTTTAGGCATGCTGGCCACCCCCCAGCCCCAAACTGGCAAGCTCCAAGTCTAGTGAGGTTCAGTTAGTGAGAGACCATGACTCAAGAGGATACAGTAGGAAGCAATAGAGCAGGACACAGAGAGCATGGCATCACCCCCTGGCCCCCACATCCGAACACACATGTACACGTGTACACACACTCTCACATAACACACCGTAAAGTCTGCCACACTCAAATTCCCTGGACAGGGTCTCACAAAATATGGCATCAATGAGAGAAGAATTAACTTTCAGTCTCCACACAGAACAAAGCCAAATCCCTGACTGGATGGGAATGTCCCAGGACAGTGCAAGCAAAACACCAAATATGGCACCTACCCATGTCAGAGTTGCAGGATGGGACAGAGACAGAATTGAGGAACACACAAAGAAAGTCAAATGAATCCACTAAGCAGGGTGGGAATGGAAGTCAGCAAAGGCCAATGGGACCTTAAACAACAAAGCAGACAGACGATGGGTCTCTGGAGCAGTTTTGGTGTAGATGGTTTAGGGGTTAGGCTAACAGTCATCAAATCGGCACTTCTGAAGACTGACTAAAAGGATTTGGTTCCATGGTGCAGCAGGTTTAGAAGAGGTGACTGGAGAGTGCCATGGAAGGTGTCCTGGTTACTCGCCCCATGACAGGGGCTGCCTTCAATGGCCCCTAACCCACGGTTCTCTTCAAGGAGTAAGCACCCAGCACACCCAGGTCTGGACATCTTAAAAAGCAACCTGTAATCTTACGTGACATTTTCTGATCTTTGAAATTCGTAGAAAGACTTGGCAGGAGGAGAGGCAAGTGCCTAGGGCCAGGGGCTAGCTCCAGCCATAAAGTATTTGCCTCACAAGCATGAGGACCTGAGTTTGATCTTCACAAGCCTTAGTTAAAAAAAAAAACAAGCTTGATGGCATACACTGGTAATTGCTGTGCTGAGAAGGTAAACACAGGCTGGTCCTGGACATTGACACACCGACAGTCTAGTCGGTACAATGGATGAGCTCCAGGTTCAGTGACAGACCATGTCTCAAAAAGCAATGTACACACTCACATGCACGCGCACAGGTGTTACCCCCCCCCTTGTGCAAGCACATGAGCACGCCCTCCCAAACACACACTGAAAATTATCTTCAGGAATGCTAACCACCAAAGGTGGCCATCCTGTCACTCTCAGTGGAGAGCTTTCATTTCCACAGGGTGACATTCACCCATCATAACCAGATTCTACATTCATGGATTCGAGTCATATATCAATGAATAAAACTGTCTGAAATTAGAGTATAATTCATTAGCATTGGGTTATTTGGAAAAGAATACAATTAGGGAGCTCTTGAAAGGATTTTTGTTAGCCAAAGCTGTTTATTCATGACGAGAACTATGTTGCCCAGGCTGACCTTGAACTCCCTATTCATTCTGCGCCACCTGTGGGCTCTGACTGCAGACTTGAGTTTCTCCTTCCCAGTAGTAATTCCACAACAGTATTCTTGTGGTCCTTCAAAAGTTCTACTTCTTAATTCTCCTCATCCCTCCATATCCAGCTTTGGACATTTTATTACATAACCGTTTATCTATATTGACCTGATTTATGTATTGTTCATTTATTTCATAGGTTAGTTAGTCAATTAGTTGTTTAATTATTGATGCAGGGCCTACTGTATGGCCCAGGATAACCTCAAACTCATGATTCTCCTGCCTCACTGTCCCGAATGTCACAAATATAGACACAAGTCACCATGTCTGGCTTGGTCTGATAATTTAAATATGATCCCTTACATAGCTAATTTCTAGAAGTGTCTAGAAAATCTATTTATGATTTAGCACTTGATCTTGTTCCTCCAAGACTTCTGGCTACACTGATCTACTAGGAAAACAGTATTACGAGATGAGGACCTTGCAGATGAGACGTCTAACTTCAGCACTTTTCCTCTTCAAATCCTGTGAGGCCTGAAGCTGACGTTCTGCTCAGGCAGGAGGGCTAGCAGGAGGCATGTTAATGAAGATGTACTTTCAAATACAGGTTTCTGTGTTTTAGTAATGCCCACAGGCAGTGCCCAAAATTCCTACTCTTTCATGTTATCAGGCAGAGGACAAACTGATCTTCTATTACCTTCTAGCAAAATAATATGAACACTCTCAATGATTTAGTTTTTAATTCTTAGTTCTCAGTTCTTAAAGAAGAAAGAGCAAATATATATGCATGCTAGAAGAAAGGGCAAATATATATGCATGCTAATAATACATATACATGTACGTATACTCCAAAAAGGGAAGGAATATCGATTTGTAGGCTAATGGTTCAGTAATTTTAAATTGAAATCAGTATTATTTATATAAATTTCATCATTTTAAAACTAGGCCATTTGCACATGGCCGTTTCCTGCCTGTGGATGAAGAACAGCAAATACACTCCCTGCTTGTGTGGGTGTCAACACACGTGGAAACAGTAAGGCATGGTGGTGACCCACACTGGAGATGAATTGATGGGGAAGTCCTGTGTGTATGTCAATAAAGCACTGTTGGCCAATAGGGAAGCAAGATAGGTGGGACTAGGAGTTGAGGAGGACTCTGGGTAGGAGAAACACAGGGAGTTATCATGTAGCCGCCACAGGGGTAAGAAGTCCGGACCCTTTTCTCCCGTAAGAGACATACTTAGATTAACAATTATGGGGTAAATACTTAAGTCAGAGCTAGCCAGTAAGAAACAAGCAAGGCCAACAGCTTCATAATTGATACAGCGTCTTGTGTGTTATTTGGGGACTACAACGTGGCAGAACAAGCAAAAGGCTTCACTCAACAATGAATCATGTGTGCAGTCTAATATATAGCGTATAGCTGTCCAGCATGGGGCTGTGGGGGAGCCACAAAGGTGTGCGGGTACGCGCCTTTAGTTCCAGCATTTGGAAGGCAGAGGCAGGCAGCTCTCCTAGTTCGAGGCCAGTCTGGTCTACAGAGAGTCCTGGGATAGCCAGGGCTACAAAGAGAAATACAATCTTGAAAAATGAACAAAGGCAGGAGGGGGAGAGCTACGGTTGCCTTATGTAGTCTTAGCTGGCTTCTCACTCTTCAGCTTCCTGCTTTGGCCTTGTGAATACTGAGGTTATGTAGTAACAGGTACAGGCAAGGCTCATCTTTTTCTTTTATGAATTCTTGTTTCTATACTCCCTAGCTGTTGGTGAAAATACTGTGACAATGCCATCTGTGCTACAAGGTGCACAGGGACTGGGCCTTGGGCACTCGGGCATTAAGAAGCATCTGTGATGTCCTTGGAGCTTGTCCTCCAATCCTAGGCTGTTGAGAGCTTGTCCTCCAAGCCTAGGCTGTTGAGAGCTTGTCTTCCCAGCCTGGGCTGTTGAGAGCTTGTCTTCCCAGCCTGGGCTGTTGAGAGCTTGTCTTCCCAGCCTGGGCTGTTGAGAGCTTGTCTTCCCAGCCTGGGCTGTTGAGAGCTTGTCTTCCCAGCCTGGGCTGTTGAGAGCTTGTCTTCCCAGCCTGGGCTGTTGAGAGCTTGTCTTCCCAGCCTGGGCTGTTGAGAGCTTGTCTTCCCAGCCTGGGCTGTTGAGAGCTTGTCTTCCCAGCCTGGACTGTTGAGAGCTTGTCTTCCCAGCCTGGACTGTTGAGAGCTTGTCTTCCCAGCCTGAGCTGTTGAGGGCTTGTCTCCCCAGCCTGGGCTGTTGAGGGCTTGTCTTCCCAGCCTGGACTATTGAGAGCTTGACTGGAAGGGCCTGGGCTGTTGAGGGCTTGTCTGGAAGGGCCTAGGCTGTTGAAACCAAGCATGACCCTGTCTTCTGGATCTGGCTGATAGAATCCCAAGAATGGAATGGTGACTGAGGCTGCAGGACAGCAGCAGGTGTCATTGTGGCTGACAAGGCTGTCACACGGTGAGCATCCCAGGGGGCTGGAGATAACAGAAGCACTTCCTTTCTGGGTTAGCACACAGTGAACGGTCTCTTGCAGATGGCGTTGCAGTGTTATGTGACTCACTTGTTGCTTCCTTCTGAGCAGCACTGCCTCTGTCTCCACACTGGGGACCTAAAGAATCCCCTTTCTCAAAGGAACGTCAAGGACGAAATGCAAGACCAGTCAGCCATACGCATTGTGGAGTACTCACCAGGTCACGGGGCGAGGAGACTGAAAGCCGCACATACACTGTGTCTGTCGAAACACGTGGATCTTACCATTTCCCGTCTTTTGACTTACCCACCAGGCAGATGCTGAGACTCAGGGGGCTTGGATGTTGGCGATTTTATGAAACACACCCTAATGATTCTTAGGACTGGACTTCAACTGTGCTGCATCGAACCCCACACCCCCCACCCCATAAGGGGAAGCTAGGTGTGTCAATCCCCTTCCTTACAAGCACAAATGCAAACTAGGTAAGCATCGACTTTTGTCACCCGTGGGACACACCATTAGAAGAGACACTATTGCCTTGAGGTGCACAGAGAACACACAGAGGGGAAAACAAGCGGGCTAGAAGCTTTAGAGACCCAGGGAGCAGTTTGGCACCCAAGAAAGCGGGCCTAGTAGTTCCTTTGCTGCTGTCTCACTGGATAAAGCACATTGCTCAAATATTCCCGCCCCATGGACATTGTTGAACTTGACCAGAATCAAGGATTTTAAGAGACCAGAGAACAACTGCCCCGCCCACACACATGCACACTTGATTTAGGTCAGTGGGTCCTAACCCGTCGCTCCCCACCCCTTTGAGGACCACATATCAGATACCCTGCATATCATATATTTAAACTGCAATTCACAACAGTAGCAAAACTACAGTCACGAAGTAGCAATGAGATAATTTTATGGTTGGGGGTCACCACAACATGAGGATACATATTAAAAGGTCTCAGCCTTAGGGAGTTTGAGAACTGCTGGTTTGGACCAATCGGATAGCTTAACAACTCAAAGGGTCATTGGACGGGCACATCCCCCACTGTGTGACACCTCACCCACTCCCCATCCTATTCTCTAAATGCGCCACCTTCCCGGGACACACGAGCCATCTTCTCAGAAGTGTTCCATCCGTTCTTCAGCCTTGGAAACTTGGCTATTCCTAACAGCATTCAATTTCTACCTCATAAAAACCACTACGCCATTTCTCTCCCTGTCCAGCAACAAGAGCATGAAGGGTTCGGTGTTTGGTTTTTCTGGTAAGACCTTTTAAAACTATTTTTGAGTGAAAGGAATGTGGTTATAAACCAGTTTTCTGCACCGTCCTTCCCATGGAATGCAATACTACAGTGATGTGTGTGATTCCCTCTTTAAACGTCTGTAAGACCCAGTAGCATTTCCCCCCTCTTAAGTTATTATGTTTAAATTTTTCTTTTAATCTAATGGTCTGGGCTTGATGTGCACCTCATACCTTTCCCCACCAGCCTGCAAACTCTAGAGTACGGCAAGACAGTGGGAGTCAGCTGTCTGATAAGTCCCTCTCTTAATGCAAATGCTCCACTCCCAGTTATGTTTCAGTGAATGAATGCACACCTAACATCTAGCTAGCTTCCTCTTACATATATGGGTGAAAAGAACCAAAAGAGGGAGGGAAAAGATAGATACGTGAAGGCCCAGAAAAATGTCAGACCCTGCCTGGCCACATAGCTGGTTCACGGCAGAGGTCTTCAATAAGGTTGTTCTGCACGGGCCTTGGCCCTCTTTGAGCCTGTGTGTTAGACTCCAATTCAGAGTCAGAAGTGTGCATTGATTCAAGGTCTTCTCCCACAGGCATGTGCTTAACTGAAGAACTCTCAAAGGCAATTGCTACGGGGACTCCCTGACATTTGTGTTCCTGAGGAGAGACCAAACAAGTTTACACCTCGCACTGAGAGACAACACCCTGGTCCTGGTCCTTTGCTGCTCTTCTGAGATGATGCTCTACAGTGTCTCCTTTGTTTCCACTGGGGCATTTGATGACTCATGGCAGGATCGTTTCAAGTATGCTGCAAAAATTAATGAGAGTCCAAGTTTCCGGTTCTCAAGAACACACCGGATAAAACCTCAGTAGCGGGTGGGCACTCCCGGTCCTGTGTATGTGGTGACTTGGAGGGTCTGTCTCCTTGGGAACTTCACAGGGGCTCAGAAGTTCATGTACACATGAAAGGGAAACACTACAGTATGAATGTGAACTGTCCCGGCAGGTTTCTGTTCCGAGCCTTTGGTTCCCAGCTGGTGGCTTTGTTTTGGAATGTTCTGGAAACTTTAAAGGGCGGACCCTTTCTGGAAGAAGTAGGCCACACTGGGAAGTCTTCTCCCGGTGGCTGTGGATGATGGCTCTGCTACAGTGACAGAGACGAAGGCCCTATCAGTAAACCCCCCCAACCTCGATTTCCTACTACTCCGCAGGGCTAGCAGAGGCAGCCATAATCTCAGGTGAAGGTCCAACAACCCAACCAACCCATCCCTAGTCTATGAGGAAGCATCAATCGTCAACAGAGCTGACCTTGGGGTTCTCACACAAATCGTCACAGTTCTGATAAGGATGATGGCCGATGTCAAGGACAGCATTCTACAGCATGATCGGTGTCATGCCTTGTATGCCTGGCCACGGGGACTGATGTGCCCTTGGCTAGCACTGCATTGCATGGTCCTGGACCAGCAGGCGACCCCGGCTACCTTATTAGGGAATTAGCTGTTGGGCTCCTTCTTCCACAGCAACTGGAGTAAGAGGCCTAAAGCTCACCCCCATCGTAAGGTCCCACGGAATAAACTGTTTTCCCAACTCTCTGGCCAACACAATCTGTCTATCTGGTGACTAGGTCTCATGCACTGCTTCTGTCATAGACGCCTGGTCCCCTCCAGATCCCTGTCACTTAGTCTTCACTTACCTGTCTCAGGACTCACAGCGGATCATCAGACAGACGCCATCGCTACCCCCAAACTCAGCCCTGGCTTTGCTGTATCCTGCCGCCTACTCCAAGCGCTGCGATGATTCATCCCCAGGGAGACACCACCCCTTCCTCATAAGTTCCCAAGGACAAACCAAAGTATGATTTCACCAAAGCTCAGTCTTGGGAAGCGATGAATTTTTTGCACTTACAGGGCACAGCTAAGGGGTTGCCTATGGGAGCACGGGTGACACGGGAAGAATCGGCACAGCAAAGTGTCACCCAGCAGGAATCGCAGCTGCCCCACATCCTTCCCAATTAGCCTCCATACCTGTAGATTATAGTTCCTCCTCAGGCTCCAGCATGGCCACCTGCAATTGAGGAGAGATTGTGTGGGTGGGGAAAGCATCTGTAATGACCTTCCCCACACCCTCCTAACACAAAAACGTCCATAGTCCACAGGCCCCATCACGATGGGCTCTTGCAAGCAGGTACAGTTGATCTGGTGAAGATGGCTGCGGTTTGCTCAAAGGACCCTGTCCTACATGGTTTCTTTGCAGAGGATCTGGAATTGAAGCCATATCACCACCCAAGCATTTTGCAGTCTGTTTAAAAATGTACATAGGATTGAGAGTGAAAAAGAAACGGCATAGTGGTAAATAAATAAAGAAGCCGGCTGTGGTGGCGCACGCTGATAGGATTTACTCCAGAGGCAGAGGCAGGCAGATTTCCAAAGAGAAACCCTATCTCAGACAAAAATAAATAAATAAAAGTAAAAGAAATAGAATAATAATAGATAAATAAATAAGCCACGTAAAGATGGAAAATACACAGAAAGTCTGGATACTGTATGCTATTGTGTTTTTCAGATTTTTGATTGCTCAGGAAGGAACAACTACTAAAGTACACTTGATTATAAATGATGCTGAATTAATTAAACTTATATCTTTTGAAAATGCCTTGACTTTAAAATTTAAGTATAAGGATATGTTACTTTCGAAAAGAGTTTTTGTTTATGTTTCTATAGAAAATTAAAAGCTAAGGATTCCTTCCAGGCTTCTGTGGTTTGATGAACCAAGACCCCCTGAAGCAATGGCCCAAGTGATTCAACATCTAAAACAGCTAAGATGATGGAGCCTTACAAACTCCAAAAATAAGGACTTATACAGGTTTCTGAGTTTTGTCATGATCCCCATGGTATGAACAGCACCCCCTTCCAGCATGAAGCAGTTTGGAATGAGCAACGTCCAAATCCCCATATTGTTTATAAATCTTTGTTTTCATTTAAATGGGGTTACTTATAGTTGGTTAATGAACACAAACAATCTCTTTTTAAAGGAAAAGGGGGATTATGGTATGGAAATGAGTACTTTGTATTGGTATGGTTTTTCATTTATTGATACAAATTCAAGGTCAATTTTGTGATGCGTATATTTCTCCTCTTGATTAAGTATTGTACATATACTGATCTTTTAAAACATAATGCATAATTAAATACAGATTATAGATAGTTACTTATAATAGTCAGAACTTATAATTAGGTAAGTTAGGTTTTCCAAATACACAGATATATTTGAGATAGATAGACAGTCTTCAAACCTTTCAAAGACCTTCAGAAAATGGCATTTAAAATAGTTTAGGGTTTTCTTGACAATGAGAAATGTCTGCTCCTGGCAGCACCAATTACGTCTGAGAGGAAGATGGGCATCAAAGAAACTCGCTATGGATTTTGCTTTCAACATGGCAAGATTAGCCATTTGGACAAGAAACTGCTCTTGCCTGGACTGCTTGACTGTTGTTGTATAATCTGGACATGCAGGACCCACAGGAAAGTGACTGCTAAACTCAAATAGTCCTTCAGGGTTCCTGCTTCATGGAAGAGTCTACGAGACTTTCTACAGGACACAGAAAAATGACTGACAGACTGCTGATGCAGATGGACAGTTTGAAATTTCCTGCTTTGCTGAGAAGTGTTCCAGACACACTGTGGCCTATGGGCTGAAGATGGATGCCCCAACATTACAGAGGAACTTCAGGTGACTGCCCAGGCAGCAAGATGTCTCTGTCAATCCTAATGTTTATATATTATCCTTCTGTGGTCTTTGATAGAGTTGAAGACAGATAGTTATTATCATAGTTTTCCTTAGTTATGATAAAAGATAAGCTGCATATAGAACTTTGGACTCACAAGGATGAGATGGATGATATTTTCTTTAAATCTTGCTGAATGTTGATAAACAAAATATTGTAACTGTGTTCTTACTTGATAACTGTTCTATTATATATAATTTGACTTCGTTAAAGTTAAGACCTTTCTTTTTGCTTAGACAGAAAAGAGGAGATGATGGGGAAGCCCTGTGTATATGTCAATAAAGCCAATAGGGAAACAAGATAGGTGGGACTAGGAGTCCAGGAGGACTCTGGGTAGGAGAAACACAGAGAGTCATGATGTAGCCCACCAAAGAAGAAAGATGTCTGGAACTTTTCTCCGGTAAGAGAAATACTTAGATTAACAAAGATGGGATAAATACTTAAGTCAGAGCTAGCCAGTAAGGAACAAGAAAGGCCAACAGCTTCATAATTAATACAGCATCTTGTGTGTTATTTGGGGACTACAACACAGCAGAGCCCAGTCGACTGGTGGGGACAAACCAAGTGGCAGACAAGAAAAAGGCTTCTCTGTACAGTCCACCGTTTATGATTTTTCAGAAAAACAGAGCAAACTCTGCTATAGAAAACATAGGGTAATTTCTTGCCTTAATTTCCATTTCTTTTATACCATACTCTGGGTCATGAAGCCAATGGTGCCATTTGAAAAAAGCCATACCCCAGCCTCGTAACTTGTTCCATATGTTCAGCATGCTTCATAAAGTAATTCCACATTAATTTCTCCAGCCTAGTATTTAGATCATGACATCTGTGGGCTTTGTATTTCCTGTGTTTTCAGGATTTATTCTGGTGTCCACTTGAATTTGCTCTATAAAAGTAAAAGGATTTGCTTAGATTCCTTTTTCCTGGGGTCTTGCGGACCATCAGGGTTCCTAGCCACTGATGATCCCATGAAGCTGTGAGGAGCCCAGCGCTGCCACTGGCTGGGGTAGAACTCACAGTGCAGATTGTCTGCTCCTCCAGACCTCAGCTTCTACAAGTGTACAGGGTGGGGAGGGTTTCAGCTAATAGCCATGTGTATAGGCACCATGATCAGTGGCCGACTACAGCGAGGGGTCTTGGTTTCCTTGTCTTGCCTTCGTTCATCTTTTCATTCAGGCAGCCTTTCTACAGATGGCTCTCAGGTGTCAGGGAGTGCACCCAGTACTAAGTTGAACTGCACTGCAAACAGCCGAAAGGATTCAGCAATGCAGGTCTTATCACCACCTAAACGCCTTGTGTGCTGTCCCTAGATACTTGGCTCGTTTTGATTTGTTAAATTATTCCATTAAAACACATTAAGAATCTTGGTGGCTGGTTCTTTGGGCTCGCTTAGCCTCTTCCTGTAAAGCCGAATTAAATTTTGTGCAAAGCAAGTGATTTGCTTCCTTCATCCCATTCTGACCTTGGAAAATTTTGAGCAAAACAGACACAGTGCAACCCTTGAGTCATTAAGAGTCAAGTGGAAGAGGATTGGTATTGTCAAAGTTACATGAAAACACGTAAATCCTTCTCTCTTAGAAGCACAAGGGTGCTATATTTTCCCTTAAGCCTGCAGGTGAGTACAATACATAGACTTTGATAATAAGGGCCCAAGATTTTACTCATTTGTAACAAACACATAAGAATTGTTTTAAATTGGCCAAGTAATGCTTCAGACACCAGAGGAGTACAGGGTATGAATCACTTACACTTTCTCAGCTTTGTCTTTGGATGTAGAAAAGACACGATAAACAACACCAAACGGGCCCCGTGTATCATAATGCTGGGATGCAAAGGGAGAGAAAGAGTTCCAAGGTTACCTACATAACCACTGGGTTGTGACTTCCCAGAAGTGACAGGAAGAACACAGTGCAGACACCCGGGGGAGACTGAGTGCAGAACAGAGGAGCGTGCAATGGACCCCAGGTGGGAATGTGCCCAGGGCACCTAAGAAAGCAGCGTGGCAGGAACAGTGTGCTCAGGAATTAGGATGGAGATGGAAACCAATCATGAAGGCTGGGAATGGAGGTGAGGGTTTCACACAGCTTGCAGGGAGCTCACAGGAAGCATCCCAGTTGGGAGGTGAGCCCTGACCAGTGCTGTGCTGGCGATCACCCTCCATGGACCAGAAAAGAAGCGAGACCAGCAATGCGTCCCTTGGGCCACGTACCTTGATGAGTTGGAATGAGGTAGCAATGAAGATGGTTACGTTCAGAGGGCCAATAGAATTTGCTGCTGGTTCGGGTGTGGCTCCAGGGAGAAAAGTCAGCCCATGGCACAGTGTTTGAGGCCTGTGCAGTGGAAGAATGAGGCTGCACAGACTGAAGCCATGAAGGAGGGAGTCTGAGAGGGAATGTATAGGGGCTCAGAAAATGGACATTGGTTCCTAGAATCTAACAAGCACCAAATGTTTGCCGTGAACCAGAGTCCATGTTTGGACTCTTGAATTCACTGCAACCGTTGGGTTAAGACATAGAAAGCAGATCATCAACTGATAAGAACAATCATACAGTAATGGGCAGAGAAACCTTGGGGACAAAGGATTCTAAAACATTGAATATGCAACCAAAGGAGACTAAGGGGGAATCAAGAGGAGCTGACCAGAGTGCAACCAACTTTCAGCTCACGCTGATGGACCAAGGACAGTGGGGAGCGAGTTTGCCTCCAAAGAGAGCACTGGGAGTGACCTTGGGAAGAGCAACTTAGTAGAGTGGTCATAGGAATGCCTGACTCTGTGTCCAAAAGAAAAACAGACTTTTCAGAGAATTATTTTGAGTAATGCTATAAAAAGGAGGTGAAAATGGGACAGGGACGAGAAGGGAAAGGGAACTCAAGGAAGATTTTTAAAAACTATGTTTTCTGTTTAAAGAGGGGGCAAGTGCTGCCTTATTTGTACAGAGGACCATAGTTAGAAGCAAGTATGATGTAGTGGATAACAGATCTGAGATGGTGATGGTGGTGAGGATGAGGGTGTGTGTGTTTGGGGGAGGGGAAATGCCCAAACGAGTCAGGAGGAAACACTCTACACCTCCCAAAGCCAGATCGCCTAGAAACACAAATGAGAACCCGAGCTTTCTCCTAGAACTTGAGAATCTACATTCCTAAACCCTGCCCACATGACACTGCAGATCTTCATCGGGGGCCAGATCTGCAGAGCAGATCACCCTGCAGGAGCAAAGCATCTTCTCAGAACATCCTAAGTCTGTGGCTTTTAACATGCTACAGTCAACTAAGCCCTTGTCCATGTAAAATTCAGTTTTTACTAGTTTTAGCAACATTTAACAGTTCCTCACCAGGAGTTGAAGAGCTGTCTCAGTAGTTAAGGGGACCCAGGTCTGGTCCCCAGCACCCACATGGTAGCTCACAACTGTCTGTAGCTCCAGTTCCAGGGACTCTAAGACCTTCTTCTGCCCTCCATGGGTACCAGGCATGTGCATGGCATACAGACATAAATGTAGGCTGGGCACCCATAAACATAAACTAATTGTGGTGGCTTGGAAGAAAACGGCCCCCAAAGGGTGATGCACTTTAGGAGGTGTGGTCGTGTTGGAGGAGGTGCGTCACTGTGGGG